AAACTAACCAGCCCTATACACGCAAAACTAACCAGCCCTATACACGTAAAACTAACCAGCCCTATACACGTAAAACTAACCAGCCCTATACCCCTAAAACTAACCAGCCATATACACGCAAAACTAACCAGCCCTATACACGTAAAACTAACCAGCCCTATACACGTAAAACTAACCAGCCCTATACACGTAAAACTAACAAGCCCTATACACGTCAAACTAACCAGCTCTATACACATAAAACTAACCGACCAGCCAACCAGCTCTATACACATAAAACCAACCAACCAACAAACCCACCCTATACACGTAAAACTAACCAGCCCTATACACGCAAACTTAACCTGTCCTAAACGCGTAAAAGTAACCAGCCCTATACACATAAAACTAACCAGCCCTATAAACATAAAACTAACCAGCCCTATTCACGTGAACTAATGGGCCTTTTCCATCTGTACCGGGTCGGCCCGGGCCGGGTAGCGTAGGTTGTTTACATATCTGGGTGGCCTGGTATTTTTACGGGCCAACCAAGCCTCATTCTCAGCCCTCTTCTCGAGGGGGTCTGCTTCAGGCCGACCAGGGCCAACACACCCACTGCTGACAGCAAATTCACACCTTCCATTAGAGCAAGCCTCTGATTGGTGGGTAGAATCAGCCCACATGGGCTTAAGACAAGGATGTGTGGAATCAACCGGGCCAGGCAGGGCCGACTGTGGCTACCCGGCCCGGGCCGACCCGGTACAGATGGGAATGGCCCATTACCAGCCCTATACACGTAAAACTAACCAGCCCTATACACGTAAAACTAACCAGCCCTATACACGTAAAACTAACAGCCCAATACACGTAAAACTAACAGCCCAATACACGTAAAACTAACCAGCCCAATACACGTAAAACTAACCAGCCCTATACACGTAAAACTAACCACCCCTATACACGCAAAACTAACCAGCCCTATACACGTAAAACTAACCAGCCCTATACACGTAAAACTAACCAGCCCTATACACGTAAAACTAACCAGCCCTATACACGCAAAACTAACCAGCCCTATACACGCAAAACTAACCAGCCCTATACACGTAAATCTAACCAGCCCTATACACGTAAAACTAACCAGCCCTATACACGTAAAACTGACCAGCCCTATACATGTAAAACTGACCAGCCCTATACACGTAAAACTAACATGCTCTATACACATAAAACTAACCAGCTCCATACACATAAAACCAACAAACCAAAAAACCCACCCTATACCCGTAAAACTAACCAGCCCTATACATGCAAAACTAACCAGCCCTATACACGCAAAACTAACCAGCCCTATACACGTAAAACTAACCAGCCCTATACACGTAAAACTAACCAGCTCTATACACATAAAACTGACCAACCAACCAACCAGCTCTATACACGTATAACTAACCAGCTCTATACACGTAAAACTAACCAACCAACAAACCCACCCTATACCCGTAAAACTAACCAGCCCTATACATGCAAAACTAACCAGCCCTATACACGTAAAACTAACCAGCCCTATACACGTAAAACTAACCAGCTCTATACACATAAAACTTAACCAACCAACCAACCAGCTCTATACACGTATAACTAACCAGCTCTATACACGTAGAAACTAACCAACCAACAAACCAACCCTATACACGTAAAACTAACCAGCCCTATACACGCAAATTTAACCAGCCCTATACACATAAAAGTAACCAGCCCTATACACGTAAAAGTAACCAGCCCTATACATGTAAAAGTAACCAGCCCTATACACGTAAAAGTAACCAGCCCTATACATGTAAAACTGACCAGCCCTATACACGTAAAACTGACCAGGCCTATACACGTAAAACTGACCAGCCCTATACACGTAAAACTAACCAGCTCTATACTCGTAAAACTAACCAACCAACAAACCAGCTCTATACACATAAAACTAACCAGCTCCATACACATAAAACCAACCAACAAACAAACCCACCCTTTACCCGTAAAACTAACCAGCCCTATACACGCAAAACTAACCAGCCCTATACACGTAAAACTAACGAGCCCTATACACGTAAAACTAACCAGCTCTATACACATAAAACTAACCAACCAACCAGCTCTATACACGTAAAACTAACCAACCAAGAAACCAACCCTATACACGTAAAACTAACCAGCCCTATACACGCAAACTTAACCAGCCCTATACACATAAAAGTAACCAACCCTATACACGTAAAAGTAACCAGCCCTATACACCTAAAAGTAACCAGCCCTATACACGTAAAAGTAACCAGTCCTATACACGTAAAACTAACCAGCTGTATACACATAAAACTAACCAGCTCTATACTCGTAAAACTAACCAACCAACAAACCAGCTCTATACACGTAAAACTAACCAGCTCCATACACATAAAACCAACCAACCAACAAACCCACCCTTTACCCGTAAAACCAACCAGCCCTATACACGCAAAACTAACCAGCCCTATACACGTAAAACTAACGAGCCCTATACACGTAAAACTAACCAGCTCTATACACATGAAACTAACCAACCAACCAACCAGCTCTATACACGTAAAACTAACCAGCTCTATACACGTAAAACTAACCAACCAAGAAACCAACCCTATACACGTAAAACTAACCAGCCCTATACACGCAAACTTCACCAGCCCTATCCACATAAAAGTAACCAGCCCTATACACGTAAAAGTAACCAGCCCTATACACGTAAAAGTAACCAGCCCTATACACGTAAAAGTAACCAGCCCTACACATGTAAAACTGACCAGCCCTACACATGTAAAACTGACCAGCCCTATACACGTTAAACTAACTAGCCCTATACACGTAAAACTAACCAGCCCTATACACGTAAAACTGACCAGCCCTATACACGTAAAACTGACCAGCCCTATACACGTAAAACTAACCAGCCCTATACACGTAAAACTAACCAGCACTATACACGTAAAACTAACAAGCCTATACACGTAAAACTGACCAGCCCTATACACGTAAAACTGACCAGCCCTATACACGTAAATCTAACCAGCTCTATACACATAAAACTAACCAGCTCTATACACCTAAAACGTATCAACCAACCAACCAGCTCTATAAACATAAAACTAACCAGCTCCATACACATAAAACCAACCAACCAACCAACAAACCCACCCTATACCCGTAAAACAACCCAGCCCTATACCTGTAAAACTAACCAGCCCTATACACGCAAAACTAACCAGCCCTATACACGTAAAACTAACCAGCCCTATACACATAAAACTAACCAGCCATATACACGTAAAACTAACGAGCCCTATACACGTAAAACTAACGAGCCCTATACACGTCAAACTAACCAGCTCTATACACATAAAACTAACCGACCAACCAACCAGCTCTATACACATAAAACCAACCAACCAACAAACCCACCCTATACACGTAAAACTAACCAGCCCTATACACGCAAACTTAACCTGCCCTATAAACGTAAAACTAACCAGCCCTATAAACGTAAAACTAACCAGCCCTATACACGTAAAACTAATGGGCCATTTCCATCTGTACCGGGTCGGCCCGGGACGGGTAGCCTAGGTTGTTTACATATCTGGGTGGCCTGGTTTTTTTCCGGGCCAACCAAGGCTCATTCTCAGCCCTCTTCTCGAGGGGGTCTGCTTCAGGCCGACAAGGGCCAACATACCCACTGCTGACAGCAAATTCACACCTTCCATTAGAGCAAGCCTCTGATTGGTGGGTAGAATCAGCCAACATGGGCTTAAAGTAGTGGTAATCCCCTGTCAGAGTCTTACTCCACCCACATTTCATATTTGAAAAATGCGGCCCAAAGAGGCGTTTCCTGTAAGACCGAGAAGGCGGAGCTACGACCGTGATTGACATACTGAAATTTGAATACAGATGGCGACGGAGAGCGACAGTAGCTCAGAGCAGTCATTCGAGGTGGAGGACTTTTCCCCACCTTCTTCCCCAGAGGATAGGGAGGAGGGCTTATTGGGGGAAGCAAGCGGTCCTGAACCGTATCTTTTTGAGCCACTAGCTCGTGAGTTGTCAGAGGCCCCTGGAGTCGAGCCAGCAGGAGTATCAAGGCATCTAATGGGTCCAGTCTCTGAGTGGTAAGTAGCTTTTAGCCACAGCTAGCTATATTTAGCTTAGCTAAAAGTAATTTTGTATGACTGCCTCAACAGGTGCACCTTTGGCCACTGCACATCATTGTCTGCCAGAGAAAATGTGTGCTGCAGAGAAACGCCCAAGGTATAAAAATAAAAGTACCCCACCATGAGAAAAGCATTCTGTAATGTACACATTTGTTACACAATCACTAACATCATACTAATATTGAACTCTTATAGCCCTGATATCAGTTGTTCTTTGTCATAGGTAATGCTCAGGTGTCAGCAGGTGGGTGTAACCTCCTGCATAACAGAGCATCCTGGTTTTGAGGCTGTTGCTCTGAATCCCTACGTGTTGCAGGCAGTTTATGGCAGCTTTCTGCAACTCTATGGGGAGATGCAGGAGACTACGCTCAACAGGTAAGACAACTGTCAAAATAATTTTTTTATGAATACTTTATAACTCATACCACCTCTTTCTCAGCTGTTACAGACATCTGGCGTACCGGAATGTGGTCAGGTGGTGTTGGGGTTACCTGGGACAGCACGTTCGTGTTGTGATCCCGTCATGCGCTGTCTCCAGAATAAGGCAGGAGTTCCCAGAAGACGGTGCATACAAAGGATTCCTCCCTCCTCTGAACTAATATATATTTTTTGGATTAAATAAATGTTATAATATATATTTCCTGTATTGATTCCTGTCCATAAAAAGCTGCATAAATCACAAAACGGTAAATGCACTTCTTTACACTTTGACATTATTTATATATACACACATATAGCCACACACTTTTCAAATGAGCTCTTACAACAGTAAGGTTCTAATTCGGGGTTAATTAATGCTGCTGTAACAAGTGAGTTTACACCCTGTGTGATTAATGAAGTCTAATCTAGAGCAGGTTCAATTAGGTAAAAATGAATGATAATTTAATAAATGTGATATATGTATTTATACAAATCAAAATATCAATATAATTGTATTTAAAATGACACAATTGCGCTTTAAAGATAACATTTATTATAGCTACTACTAAGACAACGTTAGATTACAATCTGATCATAACTTTCATGATTTTTGACAAAACTCTAAACCACAAGCAGAGATTCTGGAGCCATGTGAGGATAGGTTGGGCCATCAGTGATGTTTCTTTGGTTCCTTAGACTGGAGGTAGCTTTCACTGTGATGACAAACGTGGAGATGGATCCCGGGAGCACAGGCTTTTCTGTAACAATATCAGGAGGCTCTGAGGAAAAAAGTAATATTAGTATGACTAGTATGACTTACAAAAGCAAGACTGGTGAGTTTTGTTATGTTACATACGGCCAAGATTTTCAAGTTGTATGGGAGCCACAGAGCAGAAAGGTTGTAGAGATCAATAGACATCTGGGAGGTGGACAGCATGAGTCACGAGTGGATGAGCATAAAGATCCATAATGACGACAGGTAACTCCTCTGTCGTACAGTGGTGTGCAGCCTGGCTGAGGAGGAGAAAAGGAAAAACCACACAGAGTAGAGTACTAACTAATAATTACAATCTCTTGTTGTGTAGCTCACCTTACGTGCACTTTAAAACCTGGACCTGTGCCTGCTCACAGCATCCCGTTTATCTGGTCTTTGGAACTGGGCACAGAGCGGTTCTGGAACCGGAATTTTGTCCGAGTACTCCTGATATGGGAGAGGATCCACCACCACAGAGTCGAACAGCAGATCTATAAGCTTGTGCACATATACTGGAAAAGGGTTTTCAGTATTACAATAGCTCTCCATGACATCATTTTGGTTTTATCATACAATATATGACATACATGAGGTTGGATTGGTCTTCAGGGCTCTCACTGTGTAGTCTCCATGTTTGTACTTTGGGTACACTACAGCATATCTCAGCTCACCAGTTGCTGTTGCTGCATGTGAGCGTGCTGCATTTTCATTATAGTGCATTGCAGCAATTTGTAATCTGAAATAATCAAATAAACAAACCATGTAGATTTTAGGCAAAATTCTACATTTCATTCTAAAATTTGAACAATTAGAGGCATTATTTTGAACATTTGTTGTATTCATTACCTAGACAGCATTCCTTTGAAGGAGAAGACCTGACTTTTTGGAGTAAATCTGATGATGAGACTGTGGAAAGCCTCCAAGGTGGATGTGTGGTACTGAGGGCTTATCTTCTCTACGTCCTTCACAAACCGTGGAGCTAACAGAATGGCAGTGAGCTTCTCACATGATGCTGTGCCTAAGTAGAAAATGTTAATTACAAAAATTACAATTTGATCAACTTTAGAATGTTGCTATTATTTCATTGAGAAAAAGTTACCCATAGCTGACATTTTTAGATGACAAATGTATGAAAGAGTGACTAATAGTGCTGTAGACAGGTGTGGTAATTACTTACGGCATTTTAGTACATATTATGTCAATTATGGCTGTTCTGCCTAAAACCATGAGTTGTGTGGCGCACTCTTCTGTTTAAATTTCTGCACAGCATTTTATTCTTAGTAATTAATTGCTGTTGGCCAAATGGTGGTGTGTGACCTTAGCAGCCACATGTGACGTCTGTAACTCTCATGCTCCAAAAATATTTCTCCATGTTGAAGGAGGTGAAGACAAATATTCTGTTGTGGGGTGACGTGTTTTAAATGTAAAGAAACCAAACAGTAAAGGCTCAGCTGTAATGAGTACATGCTACACTTACTTGGTTTGAGCCACTGTCTTGCCTGTTCTCCATCCAGAGGTGCATGCAGACAGCTAGGGAACAGGGCGTTGTCATGGCTGTGCACATTTTGGATGTGGTTGGCAACTGAAGTCCACTTTGCTACTGCCTCCTGTCCTGAGGAGGAACTGGATGCTGACCAGTAGAGGTGGTTCACCACACTTTGCTTCCACAGTCTCACATCCTGGGTCGTCTTTCTCTTCCCCAGCGCTTCGATTTTCTTACCAATTCCTGGAGAGCCAAACAGACCCACATTTAAAATAGAAAAAAAATCCTGTAATATTCACTATATACATCCACAAAGATTACCTTTTCCCATGTGCCAGGGGTCAAAGTAGTGACTGATTTCCTTTTTTTCCTCCCGCAAATACTTCTGCACTCCTGTGTGGCGGTCAGTCACGACTTGCTGCACATCGACCCCCCTCTCCAAAAGTGTGCTCAGACTTCTCACAAATCCCTCCTTCTCCATTCGCACACTATTTCCAGCTTCATTGCTCTGAAAATAAACATAATTCTCCATTGATCTGTGAATAATTAACCATGAAATGCATTGGAATCATCAGGTAATGTTGTACCTGTACAAGTTGGATATCAGTAACTTTGTTTCTTTTGAGATCCTTCATGGTGCAGCTGCCATATTTGGCTGAGTTTCCTTCAAGAAATGCAAGTTATTACTTAATTTACATTTGATAGCAAAGGAATAAAATAAATAAATTTAAAAGTATTCACCAGGTGAATCAGCTCGCATGTCACCACCAAGAGTCACAGGTCCAGATTCAGTAGCCTCCTGGATGATATCAGCTTGCTCTAGCTGCCACTGCCAGCTCACTGTTGGAATTAACAGCTTTGCCTGATGTCGAAAGAATGTCTGCTTGGACAGTCCCTGCACATTGAAGGCACCCAGGAACTAAAATATGAAAAGTTACGTCATGAAATGAGAGACGCACAGACCTTATCAAAACCAACCTAAACAGTTTTGGCCTATACCTTAGAAATCTGGCTAAATGATGAGCCTGTGAAAAGGACAGCAGCACAGAGCTGGAGGTTTCCTGCTGGGATGCTGTTCACCATGGGCTGACTGGACCACTCATTGTAGTGCTCACAGCATGAACACCGTTGTGTCACACGGAGCAGTGTGCCGACTGTTGTCGTGTTCACAACACAACGACCGGTACAAACGGGACACCTTCTGAACAGCCCCAGCAACTGTTTCTCATGAACAATGTACTTCTTGTCCTTTTGTGGATGGACCTCAGTGAAAGAGCTGTATAGAACACATACATTTATATATATGGTCATAACTAAAAAATTCTAAAATGTTATAATTTTTTTTTACCTTGAACAGTTCACTGAGCTTCCACTGTCATTGAGGTGGAAGCTGGGATCAACAACAGACACCTCATATCGTGGTCTTTTCAGGGGTGTGGACGCAGCTCTGGGACTTTGTGGAAGATGAATTTCCGTCACGGTCCCTGTGTCACAAGACACACTGCGGCTGTGAGCTTTAAACTGGGTGGCTATGTAAAATACAAAGAAGCAGCACATTTATAAATGTTTAAAAGAGCATAAAATCACGTGTAACAATAATCTGCAAAACAAATAAAAACTAGAAGGTAATAATAAAATGTTTACGTAGAAGATTATTAAAAATAATTCACCTTTGCTACGTCGATAAGGCTTTACATGAGCCTGGACAAGTGCATTTTTGCAGATTACTAAATCAGTCTGACAGCCAACGTCTTGGGTAGATTTAGCCTGAAAAAAAAATAGAAGCACATTGTTGTTGTTGTTTATAAAGTCAGATAATATACAAAAGAAACTGTCCGAAATATATATATATATATATATATATATATATATATATATAGGCGCTTTATGACATTCCTAGTGTGTGATCGTTATTATAACGTAAAAGTCAGTCACATATGATGTGAAGAACCTGAAATGCGACCTCCTGAACAGAATTCCTCACAGAACCGGGTTAGGCTTTGGTGTAAAGCTGGATTTCACGCTGTAATGATGTCTGTCAACTAGTGCTGCGTTAGAGCCACTGTTGCTGAATTACCGACTGACACAAAAACAACCCGGATTTTCTCCGAGCCTGACAGAAATAGTCATGTGGACCTTTTTGTCGGCCAGGGCTTCGAGAAATGTTCCGATTCTCCGCTGATTCTAACCTTACATCCCGTTCCACATTTTGTGAACTTGACAATTTAGCCCGAAGGCAGTGCAGGCTGATATTAGCTAAAGGAAGTGAACCACGTCTCTCAAACTTTGCATTTAGGTAGGGAATTGTCTTTAGAAGATGTTAAAACGTTTATTTAGCTTACTCACCTCAGACTGGAGCCCGCCATGGTGGGGGAGCAGAGTCGGTGGGCTGCATCTAATTCGTGGAAGAGCCACAGTGGGCACGGCCTCACTCTTCAAACGGAGACGTGCAGAATAACCCAGTTCAAACTCCATCATGTTGGCGAAGGAATCGCGGGTAAAATGCTGGTTGCAGACTACAGCACCAGGCGGGAGCTGACTGTTATCCTGTACACGATTGCGCGCAACCACTGGCGCCTAATTTCTAAGTCCAGTGGAAAGGAGTGCAACCCCACAGAGCTACCACAACCAACTACACTACACCTTTTAACCATACTAACACTATATGGAACACTAAACCCGAATTATTTTCCTAATAAAACTAACAGCTAAACACTAACTAAACTACAATATCTAACAGCCAAGCTGACACTAAATAAGTACTAACACGATATGGAACACTAAACCCGAACTACTTTCCTAGTAACACTAAAAGCCAAACACTAACTAAACTACAATATCTAACAGCCAAGCTAACACTAAATAAGTATTTATAACACTAAAAGCTATGCTAAAGACTATAATATGCTAATGCTATATGCTAATGCTGAACTACCGCTAACCGTCCGACACTCACTTGCAAATCCAACTCCCAACTCGCCACAAGGCGTGGCCGAGACTCTCCTTGCTTTTATAACTTTGGCACAAGAGCTGCTACGTAGTACTCTACTGGTTTACGTAGTATCTTACTCTTTAGCCATTGGCTAAAATTTATTCAAAATGTGTCAAATTCTGTGTTTTAAGCTGAAGGTGGCGCATTACTGTGGTTTTTAGGCTGAATATTTAATTTTTAAAGAAAATGCACCAAAATACTAAAATAATGAATACACACATTTAAAACACTATTAGACACTCATTTATACAGTTCATCAGCAAAAAAAAGTTAATTTAGACGTTACTTGCTCTTTAAGACAAGGATGTGTGGAATCAACCGGGCCAGGCTGGGGCCGACTGTGGCTACCCGGCCCGGGCCGACCCGGTACAGATGGGAATGGCCCATTACCAGCCCTATACACGTAAAACTAACCAGCCCTATACACTTAAAACTAACACGCCCAATACACGTAAAACTAACAGCCCAATACACGTAAAACTAACCAGCCCAATACACGTAAAACTAACCAGCCCAATACACGTAAAACTAACCAGCCCTATTCACATAAAACTAACCAGCCCTATACACGCAAAACTAACCAGCCCTATACACGTAAAACTAACCAGCCCTATACACGTAAAACTAACCAGCCCTATACACGTCAAACTAACCAGCCCTTTACACGTCAAACTAACCAGCTCTATACACGTAAAACTAACCAACCAACCAACCAGCTCTATACACGTATACCTAACCAGTTCTATACACGTAAAACTAACCAGCTCTATACATGTAAAACTAACCAGCTCCATACACATAAAACCAACCAACCACCCAACCAACCAACAAACCCACCCTATACCCGTAAAACTAACCAGCCCTATACACGTAAAACTAACCAGCCCTATACACATGAAACTAACAAGCCCTATACACGTAAAACTAACCTGCTCTATACACGTAAAAGAAACCAGCCCTATACACGTAAAACTGACCAGCCCTACACACGTAAAACTGACCAGCCCTATACACGTAAAACTAACCAGCCCTATACACGTATAACTAACCAGCCCTATACACGTAAAACTAACCAGCTCTATACACGTAAAACTAACCAGGTCTATACACGTAAAACTAACCAAACAACCAGCTCTATACACGTAAAACTAACCAGCTCCATACACATAATACCAACCAACCAACCAACAAACCCACCCTATACCCGTAAAACTAACCAGCCCTATAGACGCAAAACTAACCAGCCCTATACACGTAAAACTAACCAGCCCTTTACACGTAAAACTAACGAGCCCTATACACGCAAAACTAACCAGCCCTATACACGTAAAACTAACGAGCCCTATACACGTAAAACTAACCAGCTCTATACACATAAAACTAACCAACCAACCAACCAGCTCTATACACGTAAAACTAACCAGCTCTATACACGTAAAACTAACCAACCAACAAACCAACCCTATACACGTAAAGCTAACCAGCCCTATACACGCAAACTTAACCAACCCTATACACGAAAAAGTAACCAGCCCTATACACGTAAAAGTAACCAGCCCTATACACGTAAAAGTAACCAGCCCTATACATGTAAAACTGACCAGCCCTATACACGTAAAACTAACCAGCCATGTACACGTAAAAGTAAACAGCCCTATACACGTAAAACTGACCAGCCCTATACACGTAAAACTGACCAGCCCTATACACGTAAAACTGACCAGCCCTATACACGTAAAACTGACCAGCCCTATACACATAAAACTGACCAGCCCTATACACGTAAAACTAACCAGCCCTATACACGTAAAAGTAACCAGCCCTATACACGTAAAAGTAACCAGCCCTATACACGTAAACTGACCAGCCCTATACACGTAAAACTGACCAGCCCTATACACGTAAACCTGACCAGCCCTATACACGTAAAACTGACCAGCCCTATACACGTAAAAGTAACCAGCTCTATACTCGTAAAACTAACCAACCAACAAACCAGCTCTATACACGTAAAACGAACCAGCTCCATACACATAAAACCAAACAACCAACAAACCCACCCTATACCCGTAAAACTAACCAGCCCTATACACGCAAAACTAACCAGCCCTATACACGTAAAACTAACGAGCCCTATACACGTAAAACTAACCAGCTCTATACACATAAAAGTAACCAACCAACCAACCAGCTCTATACACGTAAAACTAACCAGCTCTATACACGTAAAACTAACCAACCAACAAACCAACCCTATACACGTAAAACTAACCAGCCCTATACACGCAAACTTAACCAGCCCTATACACATAAAAGTAACCAGCCCTATACACGTAAAAGTAACCAGCCCTGTACACGAAAAAGTAACCAGCCCTATACACGTAAAAGTAACCAGCCCTATACACGTAAAAGTAACCAGCCCTATACATGTAAAACTGACCAGCCATATACACATATAACTGACCAGCCCTATACACGTAAAACTGACCAGCCCTATAC